TTACAGTCTCATATATTCTACGAGGCATTTGAAGCTATGTCTTATATCAGAGATGTAAAGGCCCTATTACTCTCATATGCCTTAATACATTACTGACACAGGGTTCGTTAAATATCACATTCTCTTAAGATCTTGTTTTCTTTTCAATTGATACTCGTATTTAAAATACCTATCATGAATACGAAATAATTTTAAATTTTATGTCGCAGCTTCTCTTCAAGATTTCAGTAGGAAGCTCACAAACACAAATAAATAAGAAGAAATAATCAACAGACTAAGAGAAAACTAGTGATGCTAATAATATTCTTATTCAAATGATCGACTACTTTACAAAACAGTAAGAAGAAATATCCAGGCGAGCTAAACATCTGGATTTATAAAAGTTGATCTTGTAAAAATCCCAATTGAAATTGGTACGTGTAGTCTTAATTTGTGAATTAACGCTCTCTACAAGAATCTTCTTAAATATTTTTTTCAAATTTAATAGGACTTTTATTATCCAAAGAGTAGTTAGTTATATTATGGATAGTTGCTTGATCAGTTTATCCATGGAAAAGTTTTTCCACCACAGTTATATATGCAGTAATGAGAGCAGATGCGCATATGTTCCAATTTAACAATTGCAGCACAAATTTCTCGTGATGTTTTTTCTTTATTGCACAATTGATAACTGTGGTTTGATAAGATGTACTAACGAATGGAAATACCAAAGATGTGCTATTAGATGAGCAATTATGTTTTCAGAAAATAATTGAAGCCACTGGTTCGGTATCTAATAATGAATTCTGATAATAATTTGTATTTAGATAGTAACTTGTAACATATTTTTGGAATTCTCACTTCTCTGAATAAAACTACTTGTAATATGTCAACAGAAACGTATAGTGAAACTCAAACCGAGAAACACGGTCTAGTATTAAATAACGAGAACCAATCAGCTTTAGCTGTTACTAATTTTAATGAACCACTAAAAGTTATTTTTGACCATCCGATTCCTAAGTTGGGAGACTATGAAATACTAGTTAACAATAAAGCAATTGGATTAAATCCTATTGATTGGAAAGGCAAAAAATATGGCTTTGGTATTTATCACTTCCCATGGATTAATGGTAGAGAAAGTAGTGGTGTTGTTGTAAAAAAAGGGAAGAATGTTGATGAATTTGAATTAGGAGATAGAGTGATAATTAGCAGTACTAGTTACAGAGATAATCGAACAAGTACATTTCAACAGTATACTGCAATCGATTCAAGGTTGGCTTGGAATCTACCAGATTCACTTTCTTTTGAAGATGGTGCAACGGTGGGTGTCGGCTTGGTCACCGCGGGAGTGTTGTTATATAATAGTTTAGAGCTTGAATTGAATGAAAAGGCAAAAACTAAAAAAGCTGCCACACTATTATTATGGGGAGGTGCAACCGTGGTAGGACTTTATGTTACGCAGTTAGCAAAAATTCATGGATTGAAAGTCATTTCGGTTGCAAGTTTGGAAAATGAAGAGTATATCAAGAGTCTTGGGGTTGACGTGGTGATCGATCGTCATTTAGATATTTCAGAGATTTCAAAGAAAGTATTGGAAGTTGCAGAAGACGGAATAGACTATGGCATAGATTGTGTTTCGAGGGAAACTTCGGCTGTTGTGATTGATATACTTAGTAAGTCTTCTTCAAAATTAAAAGAAGCACGGCCCATATTCTCGGGAATTGTTTCTATTCCAAAATATGTTCCTGAGAATATTTCACATAAAGAAGTAATCATCAAGAAATTCCACGAGGATGTAAATTTTGGAAAAAGTCTTGTTGATATCACAGCAGGTTATTTGAGTACGGGTCAAATCCAACCTGTTAGATATAAATCTTATAATGGAGGGCTCCATACAATCGATGGTGCTTTAAAGGAATTAGAATTGCTAGGAGCGAAGGCAGAAAAATACGTTGTGAGTGTTCAAGGATAGTTATGTGGATAGTTATGCTAATATACATAGAATATAGTTAAGTTTAAGTAAAATGTTTTGAATATGTAACTGTAATAATACATAGAATATAGTTAAGTTTGCGTAAAATGTTTTGAATATGTAACTGTAATATTTGCAAAAACTATGGTTACATTAAAAATCCAATAAAATTGTCTTATATTGTCTTATATATCTATTTACGTTTTGTATTTACCGTTTGTATTTATTTAGTATTCTTAAGGTCTTCTAATTTTTTTTCAAAGTCTTCTTTAGAGACGCCAGATCTCCATCTAAGGTCATAGGCAGGGTGTGAAGGCCTTACAAAACTTGGATCATCGCCTTCTGCACCAAACACATTTTCTCGGAATGTTAAACCATCGCGAGGGTAGTCATCCCAGGCCAAACCACGCTTTCTTAAAACAGGAATCAAATGATCAACAATATCTTCAAAAGTACCGGGAGTAATGGCATACGTGAAATTGAATCCATCAACTCCTGAAATATCTACCCATCGTTCTATTTCATCAGCAACTTCATCAGGTGTCCCATAAAAAACAGGGCCTAATCCACCAACCGTAATTTGACTAGCCACATACTCTCTAGTCTTTTTAAGATCAGCAGGATCACCTGGCGATAATTTTGTCCAATTATCAATGAATCCACGGACTGCATTACTACCAACATCTTTTAACTCGTCTTCAGGATTAAATTGGCCTATGTCAATGCCCGTCCAGCCACTAAATAACGCTTGAGCACCTTCTAAATCACCATATTTTCTTAACTCTTTATATTTTTCTTCAGCTTCCTCATGAGTTTCCCCAATAACTGTGGTCACTAATTGAACAAATTTTATGGCATCTTCCTCTCTTCCATGTTCTTCAACAGAAAGCCTTTTAATATCTGCGATCTGCCCAGCAAGGCTCTCTGGCGTGAAATTGGTTATGAAGACAATTTCTGCATTTTTAGCTGCAAAGGCCTTGCCAGCTTTAGAAGTTCCAGCTTGTAAAATTACAGGAAGCCTCTGGGGAGTTGGATCGGTAATATTTGGACCAGGAACTTTGAAGTATTTACCTTCGAAGTCAATCTGTCTAATTCTTTCTGGATCAGAATAAATCCCTTTTTCTTTGTCTAATTTTACAGCATCATCACTCCAAGATGACAATAACAACTCGTAAACAACCTGTAAATACTCTTCTGTTCTCTCGTATCTTTCATCGTGCGGAGGCAAATCTTCACCATTTAATAAATTACGGGCAGCACTATCTAAGTACGAAGAAACAACATTCCATCCGACTCTTCCATTCGTCAAGTGGTCTAAAGTAGCTAACCTTCTTGTTAAATGATATGGGGCTTCACTAATAGTACTGAAGGTGATGCCAAACGCTAAATTTTTGGTAACAGCGGCCATGGCAGATACTACAGCACTCGGTTCGTTAATAGGCCATTGAGCACCAGACGTAGCTGCAGCCTTGATATTGCTAGGGCCATTGTAGACATCATAACCACCCAATACATCAGCAATAAATAAACCATTAAATTTTCCTCGCTCTAATAGCTTGGCCAAATTTGTCCAATACTCAATAGAATTGTAAGTTTTAGATCTATCTTTAGGGTGCTTCCATAAGCCTGGCGCTTGCAAGCCACTGCAACCCATATCAAATGCATTGATAATAAGAGGTTTTCTTGTTTTTTGTTCTTTGGAATTTATTGTCATTGCGATACTATTGATATGCTTTGAAAAATACTAAAGGTGAAGCGAATCGAATATTTTTAAACAAATCAGGCTGGGCAGTATCGGCACACTGTTTTCAAAACCACAGTTCCAACAATCGGAAACTTATTTCAAGACATAATTCAAACCACATTTGACTAATGTCTTATTGGCTTAATAATAATTGCAATATATCAGTGAATTGAAGCTAATCTGTGGCTTTATTAGTAGAGCACGCCGCGCACAAAAATTCGATGGCTTAGCAAAAAAGCGTTCACATACATCTCGGTAGCTGTCTAAAACAGGCAGTATGGTAGTCAAAAAATTGGATTTAAGATGGAGCCCGGGGCATTAGGGTATGTAGATTAATTGCATGTATATTGTATCCTTCGTTAGAGGATTTAATGAATTAAATAGTAAAAAGTAAAAAAAAAGTATCCAGATAATAAAATATGCCTTGTATTTAAAAATTATTCTGTTGATATATACGTAATGAAAATTTTCTAATAAATAATTATGCCCACTTTCCAATTAATGCCATGATTGCTGCTCCAAATGCTAAACAAAAATATGCCCAAAGCATTTTTTGCATACCATTATCGCCTTTAAATTCGGGAGAAAAAATAAAATCATAGGCCATTAATTCTACCAAACTGTTGTAAATTAAAATTCCACTACACAAGGCATCGAAGCAACCTGTAGTGATTAATGCAACCCTTGATCCCGGTGGATAAGAATTTCGCACACCAAGACCAATTGCAATAGCTATCGGGGTAGTCAAACTGTAAGCTAAAGCTAAAATCCAAGGAATGTATTGTTTGTCTTTTGGCCACGGAGTCATGGCAAACCGTGTGCCTAAACCCAATCCTTCAAACATTTGATGAAAGGCAATTGCTACGTAAAGAGCTTTGAACTCATCCCCCGCAATTGCCAATGATAACCCCACAAAAACAGAATGAAATATTATTCCGAATTCTAGCACAAACGAATTTAGGATTTGCTGATACACATTCTCTGTCGGTGTAGCATTATCATCTCCAGATGTATCTTCTTTGATTTCTTCTTTGATATCTTGCATTTCGAGTGAATTTTCACTTTGCACTTCCGCTATTTCAACCTTTAACTTTTCTTTCTTATTTGCCTTATCCTCAAGACGTTTGTGAGCTACTATATCGAGAAAGAACATGAAAAATACACCCATAAGTGCTATTCCTTCTGCCCATGGGTATTCTGCAAAAATTCCACCAAGACAATTATCTGAAAGTGCTTTGTCTGCTTCAGCTAATAGATGAATGAACCCTGTAGCTACTATAACACCTGACCCAAAGTATCTTGTGATAAAGAAACACCACTTAGGTAGATTAAAATAAGGGCATCGTTGTACAACTAATGGAAAAAATGCCCCAAACGCAGAAACAGCTAGGATTACGAACACAGCCGAAACCCTAGCACCTAGATTCTCTCCGTTAAAGTGATTCTGTGAACTACACACATCCCTTGTAAAAAGATATGATCTTGTCATTTTCATTAATTTGATTCTATTCAATCATTCATGTCTAATGAACAACCAGAGCATTTTATGACTCCAGATTTTCAACCTTCCCAGAAAAAAAAATGCCCAGAAATGCTCGTTAATGTCCTTACACAAACCAGAAATACGACTTAGGGGGTTATCTAAATACGTAATACTCGAAAACAATACCTTAGTAGCAATTTTATCACCATTCAATTGCAATCACAACTAGAATATATCATCTGGTCGAAGGCAAGTTATAGACCATTTAATGTTAAAGTATTTGCTAGAAATGCTGCGTTTTTCCATTTTGAACTGTGAACTCGTGCTTATGTAAATATTTATTGCGACGTCTATTGTAAGAAGTTTTTCATAGACATAAAGTATAAATCATTTTAAACTTAAATTATTACAGAAGTAATATGTACCATGTTAGGATATTATATGTATTGATTTACTTGCAATTTTTCACTGGCAGCATAATATGTTCTCCAGGTGATGATTTGTACAGATTTCAGGAATGTCGATACCAATGTGAACAAATTATTTGTTATAATAGGCCGTATCATATATTCGAACAAATGATACTTGATGAATTAGGATCGGATGGGGAATATGAAATCCATGCATACAATGAACATTGGGAATTTAGCAGTCTGCCGTTATCCTTACATTTAAGACTCTTGGGGTGGGATTGTGTTCTGAATTGTGATTATGAATGTCAAAGGATAGTTACCAAGGAAAGGTATGAAAACAACGAAGAGATATATCAGTTCCACGGAAAATGGCCATTTTGGAGAGTATTTGGGATACAAGAGTTTGCATCAGTGATTTTTTCAATTGGAAATTATATGGTTCATGCTATTGGGGTTAAGAAAGTATTAAATGCTAGAAGACAAGCTGACCCGATCATAAGGAATGAATACACAGTTTTGATTATTTGCAGTTTCATAGCAATGTTTGCTTGGATTTGCTCTACAGTATTCCATATAAGAGACTTCTTAGTGACAGAAAGACTAGACTATTTTGTTGCCGGACTCACAGTCTTAAGCGGGTTTTATGCAGTTTTTACTAGATATTTTAGACTTTATTTGCCCAGCAGAAGAATATTTAGAGTAATATTTACAATTGCATGTTTACTGGCATATAGTTGTCATATATATAGGCTTGTTGATGACTGGCTGTATACATACAATATGCAAGCTAATGTAACCATTGGCGTCTTGCAAAATATTCTATGGGGATTTCTTTGCTTTGATTTGTATTATAAGTACTATGAATTGGAAAATAAAGAAAATATTTATAAAGGGAAACAAAACAGTCATTTGGATTACATTAAACCAAGAAGATTACTTATTCCAAGCTTTTATTCCAGATCCTCCAAACTTTATTCATTATATCCATTATTGCTCTGTGCTATTGTTATCGCTGGTATGTCCTTAGAAATATTCGATTTTCCTCCAATCTTTTTTGATTTAGTGGATGCACATTCATTATGGCATTTAGTAACTATTATTCCTGCATTTTATGGATGGTATGACTGGATGATTTGGGATATTGATGTGAATGTGAAACATGAAATGAAAGAATTAGCGCAAAAGAAAAACGATTAAGTCGCCAATTGTACTATTACTACTATTACTATTGTTATTATTATTATTTATTTATTTGTCTATTAAACTAATCGGAGAAGTTTATGCTGATCCAAAACGTTCTATTTCGAAAAAAATTTCTAGCATTTTGAGATTTTTTGGCGATCATATAAAAGATATATAGATAAGAAATAAATACTAGTCGCTTAAATCTTCATCTTCTGGAGGAACATAGGGAGGAGGCTTGAAAAATTCTTGATCTTCTTCCACAAACTTCTTGAACTTTTCTTTATCATCAACATATTCATATAGATATTCTAATTCCAAATCGTGAACTTGTCTACCTAACATGACCAACGAATGTAATGGCTCACCTGAATCATACTCGGATAACTCTTGCAAAGTACCTGCTTTAAAAGTCTGTTCGGGAGACCCCAATCTGGAAATAGCTACACATGGCGTATTTGGAGTATAAGCCTTTTCTTGTCTTATTTCTTCAATTTCTAACAATTGAGTGGCCGCAGTTTCTATATTCATATATCTTGGAGGTTCGTATATCAATTTTCCTCTTGCCATATTTTCAATACTTTGCTCCTTGACTTTGATATCTAACAAAAGTAATGTATGCAAACCAATTCTTCTATTTTCCATGATTTTATTGTAAAATGAATCTGGTTTCCATGTTTCCGTGAAAAAAACCAAAGAAACTGTTTGACCAAATTGGTATAATTGCAATCCACATGCTCCAACGGCATTCATGACAGATGCATTATGGATTGCTTCAACTTTGATATTTAACTCTCTAGCTCTAATTATCAAATCTGTATGGGTTGTTGCTCCAAATGGATCACCCACAACTAAAAAAGCCACATCATCCTTGTCAGCATTCTCTAAAATTTTGTCAGATCCACTTTCGACTAACTCTCTATCAGCTAATATAATTTCACGTCCATAGAAAGCTTCCAATGACTCTTGATTAGCCGCCATTAAAATCGATGTATAAGCTTCTAAATAAACTCTTTTACATTTTTTAATTGTTTCTAATCCACGGATGGTTATATCCGTCTCATATGACAAACCTAAACCAATTAAGTATAGCATTTTCGTATATGTCTGTTATCAGTGTAGTAGATTAACTTAGACTTCCATAAATTATTGTATATCGAAAAATTTAGACTTCACGTGACCAAAGCATAAATACAGGCGATGAGTTTAGCATAATAGCTATAGTAATAGCTCTGCTAATAGTGACAATAGTGGCCAAGAGTTGAAATGGGGAATGGAGCTACTGCTCTAACGGGTGATATTGAAACTAAAGCGAGGGGTAAAAGAGCAACAAAAATAAGAAGAACTGATGAAGAACTTCAACATGACATATTAAAGTATAAAGAACTCTTAATGAGAGATCAAGGCTTGGAATTGGATATTCCACCTAAACGAGCTAAATCAAACGAAAAGGAGCAAGAGATAAAGACATTTAATAATAGACAAAGTTCAAGATCTTCAAGATATAGGAATAGAAGGTTTGCACTTGAAGATAGTACAGTCAGAGAATCTTCAATACGTTCTCAGAATAAGATTAATGAAGCTGCTAAAGGATATGAAAAGTTAAAGCCAAAGTATTTCAACCAGCGCCAGAAAAAACTTCCAAGATACGAATCATCATACAACCAGGATAAAATCTCTCCACCTTCGTTGACTGACATCAATAATTTTAGGAAGTTTGAAGACAAGGTCCTTTTAAGCCATTCGTATCAGGATTTAATAAAACTTCTCAAATCTGAAATAAATATTCAAAAGGTAGATGATAATGAAAAGGAAGAAAGTGAAGCAATTGACATACCTTTGCTGTGGAACTTCTTTCCTAAAAATATTGATGCTGAGAAGAAGCGGTTCGATATTTCAGATCCTTATTCCTTTGATTTTCAATATTTAAACTTATCATCTACAAATTTGTTCTGCAGTGAAGACATAGATGTATTTTTTCAAAAACTTAATGATAATTCAAATTTCGATCAATTTAATGAAGTCGATTTAGAGCTTGATGCAGAATCTTCAATAAGAAAAAATTTAAAGAAAACTATTCCATTAGCATAAAACATGATATCATGAGTTAAAGATATTCTGTACTTAGCATAAACATAATATACATAATAATAAATATATCATTCATAAATCACACAACTTATCGATTACTTCACATAACATCGAGTTCTCAGGATTTTTTAAAGTAGAATTATTAATTATCATTAACTTAGCTTTACTGTGATACTCGTGTATTAAGTTGCGGGTAAACTCCAAAGACTTTGATTTATTTTTCATGAATTTGATGCAATCATCAACAAGCTGGGGATTAGCTTTACGTTCCTCACTACCTTTAATTTCATAAAGAATTCTGTATATCGGGGAGTTCTTTGAGTTGGTTCTTAAACAATGCAAAATGGGTAAGGACAACTTTCCTTCGATTAAATCTTCTCCAGCGTATCCCTTCATATGAGAATAATTTGGATCAACCAAGTTTAAATAGTCATCTCTAACCTGGTATATTATACCTAGTAGGTTTGCTAATGGTATTACAGATGACGATTTGAACAGAGGAGAAAATAATTTCAATAATTTAACAGAAAGGCGAAATAATCCACCTGTTTTATTCATTACCATTTTCAAGTATTCATCTATCTGTGGTAAATGGTTCTGAATGTAATCTCCACTATCTCTCCAATGAATGTCCAATCCTTGTCCATGATGCAAATTTAGCATTTCATCAACTAGTACTTGCAGAATTTCATAAGTGAGATTTTTAATATCGACATCTCCATTGTGAACTTTAGCATAATATGCTGGTAGCTCATTCTGCGCTTTTTGTAATGCAATGAAGTACATTAAGTTCCCACAATTGATAGTTGAAGGTGTGCCATATAATGTATGTGCAGTTGGCATGCCTCTTCTGAAACTTGAATTATCTTCAATGTCATCTATCAATAATGATGAGTTATGAAAAATTGATATTACTTCTCCAATTTTATCTAATAGTTTACGGTCTTCAATTTGATAGTATAATTCATTGAAAGCATTTAGAAAGGTTGCACGAATATTATTGTTGTTTGAAGGAATACCTTCTAAATAATTGTAAGGTTCCAAAATGCATTTAGGAATCTCTTCATTATGAGAACCATATATTAAGGAATTTATGTCTGTATCCATTATGGTTGACTTTCAAGTCAAGAATATAGTTGTGTCTTATCAGAGTTTTTGCCATTCAAAAAAAAAATGTTTCTCGCTTGAATATTTACATTTTATCTAATAAGCTGAAAACTATTAATCATAATATAAGAAATGGAACGGATATTTCAGTGGGTATCGGGTATACCACCTGTTACTAGGTATTGGTCTATAGCAATACTTTCAGCGTCAATATTGACTACGTTACGAATTGTCCTTGCTGTACAATTAGTATTTATTGTTGACAAAGCTTTTAATTCTCAACCGTGGCGACTAATCACCTCGTTTTGTTATTTTGATGATCTACTGATTGAATTGATATTAAATGTATGGTTTATAATACGTTCTTCTCGATATTTAGAAGAAGGGTTTAGCACAAAACTTGCATTATTTCCTACTAATACCATAAATAATCTCAACACTGAACAAAGAAGTTTCTTGAAGAGAATTATTGATAAGAACAAGTCGATTGATTATCTATACTTTGTTTTGTTGATATGCGGTTCTATTGTTGCCGCTGTTACATATGGCTCTAACAAATTCGATTTTAAGATCCACAGATTGGGTTCACTCTTAGACGATATATTATTGTATATTTGGTGTCGGAGCAACCCTAACTTAGAAGTTAACATGTTTGGATTCTTCACTATACAAACGGCATATTTGCCTTGGTGTTATACAATTCTAAACTGGGTCTTACTGAAAGATTTTTTAACCGATTTCTTGGCCCTAATGTCCGGAAATATAAGACTTATAGCCTCTGTATTCACCAAGCCTTTTGTATGGAGAGTGGTAATTTGCTACTCTTTGGGTCATTTCTGGTGGTTTTCTAGGGACTTTTTGTTATCTCAATTTTATTATGATCTCAACGACGAGAGAAGGCAAATCAGGTCTGAGACGCCAAAAAGAATTGAACAAGAGTCTAAAATTTCTACCTATCATAATATTTCGAGACGCATACTCACATTAGTTTTATTGCCTCCTTGGTATTGGGTAATTTTGAAAAATATCCGGGACAGGCATTAGTTGAGGTATTTTTAGGATGACGAAGATGACAATAAATCCTGTGCTATATTAAACGGTACATAGGCTTTTGAAAAGCAAATATAGATAATCGTAATAGAATTAAGACAACCTAAGTTGAATTATGCTTTGATTTCGTCATGAATATATAGCCATACTTGTATCTGATGATACACTACTTAAGAACGATGGGTGTATAGCTTTATTGCACTGAAAAATTGTTGCAGATTTACGAGACCAGTACTCGTAAATATTTTACGGCAGTATTAAACATTTAGTTTGATTATTAACCTCAATCTTGTAGTTTTATTATTACAAAATTTAAACGAATATCTTAAAACTATAAAGTCACCCAAAATATAATGTTTTAATAACCTATTTAATGCAAACACCGGTGCCTTAAAGATGGCTGTGCATTGACCGATCAAAATGCTTAGGACATTTTACGTGTCATTTCTTAAGCGAAAAATGTATTAACACACATAAATACCCCTTAATTATTCTAACGCATCAGAGAGTTATAGCCTTTAATTTGTAATTTTCAATCGAAGTATTTGGCTGACGAAAACCCTTCAAGTTTAATACTAATACCAATGTAAATAACAATATTTCTTGATGTTTGCACTTCTTCAAGAACATGATCTATTTTTATTGTAGCTTAGTCTTAATAGTAGAGGTATATACACGATATGATATTATGTAATTTTGTAACTTTACAGACTGCTAGACATACCTCACAGTTTCAAATTGGAAACTAGAACTTGTGTCGGGATGTAGAGCAAATTTAAAAGAGATCTATGCCGGATGTCAAGGAAACATCAATAGTAACACTGGCAACATTATGCAATCATCCAGTGATCGTAAGCTGAGTGAGGATTCTAGCCTTCTTGATGAATTTGGCTAAAGAGTATTCTGAAGTTGTGATAAAACGTTGAGTGCATATAGACCTTAGCGGCTTACAAGGGATAATTTTTGATCCAAAAAAAGATTAGTACAAAGAGATCTGTATTACCACGGAACTCTTTGTACTTAGCTCTATCTTATATTATGGGAGTTATGTCTTGGCGTAAACTTCTACAGATACTAGAAGAAGAAGTCCGTGGAAATTCTGATAATTTGAATGGACAGATAAGCCAGTTAGTTCAATCATTTATCAAATATTTGAAAGAACCGAGATATCAGTCGCCACTTACTTTACCAGAACTAGCCCTGTTGTTTACCAACTTTTACAAGGACTTGAATTCGTTGGTTATAAACCTATACACACAGTCAAATAGCGTGAAAAAACAACTTATTTCAAGTTCGGAGTATTTTAAGACACATCCGGATGATTTTGACTATTTATTAGCAATCGCTAATTATTCTACTTCCTCAGTGAAGTTATTGAAGAGAACGGATCCAGAGGCTGTTATACAGTTAAGAGTATTCAATTATTATAAATTTATCACGATAATGGAAGCGATCGAAAAAGCTCAATTAGAGCTATTTAATACAAATAATACCCTAGATGAAGGTATCTCGTTACTTGAAAAGATATTCAAATTCGATCAACGTGATATTATACTTCAAGAATTTTTAAACGAAAAATTGGATGCATTGAAGAAATTGAATTTACCATTTTCATGCTTTATTGAGAATGATCCAAATAATAAATTAACTACGTTTTTTTCATCAATTTCAGATGCTGGGGTTGAAAACAGCTCCTTGAAGAAAATAAAACAAAAGTTTGCCTTGTTAAATGAGAGTATCACTCCTTATTCGAAATTAAAGGTAGTGGTGGAAATCCAGAAATCTTTAATAATACTATTGTCAGAAGCATATGAAAGTGATCCTAGCAAGGTGAATAACGATGATATAATTCCTGCATTTATTTTCATCATCATACGTCATGTACCTTTCAATTCGAGTGACTTATACTTGAATTTCACATTCATAAAAAATTTTGTTAACCTCATTGATCCATACAATGTTGATATAAATTCATTTACATTAAATTCCCCATTAGCATCGTATACACCTACTGATAGGTTAAATAAATCATTGAATGGCAAGAAACCGCCTAAGAAAAGTAACTTATTTGAATATTTGAATTTGAAAGAAGAAGAAGAAACGGAACTAGAATCTTCCAGTAATATTGACTTTTTCAAAAGCGACAAAGAATTAGTCCATCATATCCAAGCAAAACATTTAAATAATGGTGAATTGATATTCTATTTAACTAATTTTGAGGCTGTTTTATTCTTTCTACTGAGCGTTACAATCCAAGAATTGGCTCCAGATGAAACAGCGGAAAACCCGTTATTAAAATGTTCCCTCCATAAGCTAGTAGACCAGGAATTGCTAAGCCATTTCAAATTTCCAGACGGCAAGGCGATGGACGAATTTAAAAATCAAGAAGACATTTCACCACAGGTTTCTTCTAGGTCTCGGTCCAGCTCATTGCTAAATACAATAAGCCATAAGCTAAATGATGTTGCATTATCAGTTAATAGATCGAGATCTAATTCATCGATAATGAATAGCTTGAAATCTTCGTCATTATCGCTAAATAGAGAGAGCTTTCCGTCATTTGCAGGCAATCATGAAGCTGAATCAACACATACTTCTCCCACAAATTCCAATGAAAGTAATAATGTGGATTCTAATTCGATACCTTCACTGATGATGAAAAACATCTTAGGCAGGTTTAGTCTGGTTCTGGTTCCACAATTCAGGCCCAATGTGGAAGAGCATTCAATAACAACTGAATCAGATAACGCAGATAGTAAGATAGAGGAAAGAAATAAAAGGTCCAGCTCTTTAATGAACAAAGTATCACTGGATACCTTGAGAACGAGATCGTCATCAATTGATAAGCAGGACCCTGACCTAATCAAAGAGCACCAGAAAAAGAGTTCCATCACGTCCAAGCTTACCAATGGTGTATCTGATTTTATGACCAAATTTAATAGTACGACGAATGGTTCCAATGGTACAATTTCTACGTTGCATGCAAACCCAACTAAGAGTACCTCCAATTCATCACTACATTCGTTTGTCGAGGGTATGAATAATTATTCAGATAGCAATGTTACTATAAATGAAGACGTAATCGTATCTAATGGTAGTTCTGCAACGATTCAAAGGCGCCCAGATTACCGGAATCGAACAACAAGTTTACAGATTATGGATAAGTGGTTTAATAATATTTCGGCGAACAATAATAATTCTGAAAATCAAGAGACCACCATAAATTCGACTTCTGGCGATAATTTAGAAGAAGAAGAAAATGAAATCCAAATTAAGAATTTAACGAAGTATGCCAATAAAGATTTTAATTCTCTTACTATCAAAGAATTAAAAGACTTAAAAGTTTGCTATGACATATTATGCTGTGAACTTACTTCCAAGTCTAAAATGAAGCCAGACAAGTCCGAAGAGGGTGAACCCATTGATACTGCAGACAGGATTAGCTCTTCTGAAACGAGTATTTGAAAGTCAGTTTATAGGAAATAAATATTTAAGTACTCATATGGAGTCATGTATATAATAGAAAGTTCGAGATAAATAAAAATATCGCCATTCTGCAAATATAAGAAGCTAACTTATCTTATTAGAAGAGAATTAATATTATAAGCATATGAAAAAATTTAAAAGTATATGAAGTTGTCATCGAAGCAGAATACGACAAATGCAAAAGAAACATTCAAGATCTTATGATGACGATAACGAAAATTCATATGACCTTGAAAAGAATGGAAAGCGGATAAAACTTGATAATTTATTACTGGAATTATCATTAGATGAAAACACCACAAACCACGAGCCAAAGAAGACTACTACTCAATCATTTATAGAAAATAAATCATCGAAACTATCACATCAATCTGATTTCGTGGTAAACCCATCTTTAAATTTGAAGTCGTATTCCGTATATAAGAAATCTTCATCCCCACCAGCGACGATCAATTCTCCAAATATTAATTCCTATGTTATGGAAAGGTTAGTTCAGCATTTTCATACTGTTTATAATTCCAAATCAGCGTTGATACAATACTACAAACCTCATTTTGTTTTGAGCTACCATTTTGAAAATTGGGTAATAAGACTATTCAACAGATTTATCCGAAAATACAATAAAAGAACTAATGGAGTTCAGATAAAAAAGTTCACCTTCTATTCCAAGATCATGAATTTAATAAATCTGAAAGATATTAATTTTACCTTCAATGATTTATTACACATTTTGGAACAAGAAAATAAACTAGAGGCACTAAGATTGAATAAGAAAAGAAAAAATAAGAAAGTAAAAGATAGTACTACCGACGAGGCTGATGATAAAATTTTTGAAAGTATAAAATATAATTATTGGGATACATTAAGGGAGGTAAATAAGGATTTTGAAATGATCGACGAATTATCTCTTGATACTTCTGATACAGATAATCCAAAGTTATACGAAATTGTAGATCCTATGCATAGCTATGAAAATCTGGAAGATTCAGATATTGATATGGAAACATATGCGCCTTTCGATCAGAATTAATATCCCCATTAATGAATAGTTTATATAAAAGAATACAATAAGAAGATTTGATTGAGTACGATAAATAGTTGCGTTGTAGTACTATAATTGTATGAACCACAGTTATCTTTCGCGATCTGATAAAGAAATAAAAATTGCTAAGTTTAAAGAGTCGCTATTTTACGATAAGGTGAAATTCTAATACCACGAATAGCTTATATCATAACACTATGACTAACATATCAGAATTACCACATGAATTAATAGTTGAAATACTTTTTATTTTGAGTCCATCCGAGACTCAATCATTGATTAGCAAACTTTATCAAATACTTGAAAACCTTCCACCTAATTTGAATATTGCAGCGAATAATGTAAGGCTATTAATTAGCTTTGCTTTTCAAAGGCTCTATAGTGGCAAGCTATTGGTGACATCAGATTCCTGTTGTAAAAAGGGAGAAGAAATTGGATCAGATGCGGTACTATCGCTCCGCAATTTTGAAGATAAATTTCTTGAAAGCAGGGAGAACGAAATAGAGAACATTCTTTTCAAAAAGACACGGCCTCAGATTCTTACTTTTAGGTTCATTCGAGACGTCAATGATTATAGTAATTTTGTTGAAGACTTGTATTCATTAAATGCAATATTTGACAATTTGAGTGACAGAAATGAAATAACGAAGTATATTGGCATTGCATGCCAATTAGAACTATATATTGATGGGTACACAATAGGAGTAGAATCACCAACGGCAATATTGGTGGCAGTATTGAAGACTTTGATAAGCTTAGCAAATCCCAATACGGCCTTGAAAAATTCGCTCAGCAGTAAATTCAAAAGCATTACAATCAAGTCTACCGATATTGGAAACTATTATGTTTCCCGTTGGGGCCAGCTATTAGGCTGCTTTACGAATATCACTCATTTAAATTTATCTGACAATATAATAAAACTGGATTCGAATCCTAGAAACGAAGGAGAACTGGGTATAAAGATCGATTTGTTGGCAAACGATTTTGTTTGGCCTCCTTCCTTGAAAGAATTGAATTTAGACAACAATTTGTTGACTTACATTTCAAAAAAATTTGTGCTCAAATTATCACGTACTTTAGAAAAGTTGCTGATATGTTCGAATAAACTAACTACTTTGGGCCAAGACGATCTACAATTTTTTAAATTTATCGAAGTATTGCCTCAGTTAACCACTTTGAAATTGAATTACAACAATACCCTAATGCTTGTAAATGAACATATGTTCGACAAAATTTCTCTGAAAGGCAAATTTAGAACTTTAGAATTACGTGGATGTAATATTGATGAACATAATATGTTACTGTTGAAAGGAGTCTCAGTTAGGGAGAATTTTTGTTTGCTTGATTAAGGTAGCATATAGATAACAGCATTATGTCAACCTGTATATAATTCGTTCAATGAAATGTTAACCCGATCGCATGTACTAGAAGAACTCAATATATATTAAGAATAATCTACAAACAATTGTATCTTGGACGAAATATGATTGGGACAACTCAACTCACGATACCTCGATTAATTTCAAGGCTAAACAATGATATAGTGAGGAGAAGTCTTACTTCAAGAATAAGTTTTATTAATTTTTCACATAATTTTCATGTACATAGGGTGGAAAATAATAGATCACAAATAATACAGTTGAACCCTAACATATCACATTGGAGCTTTCAGAGGTACAAGTCTACTACAACTACATCACGTAATAACCCACAGCCAGAAACTCCTACCCGTGATGTCAAAACAAACACATTAAGGAAAGATATAAGCAAGTTATTTCGATTAGCAAAGCCCGAAGTTAAGATAATAATTGCAGCATTACTATGTCTTATTTTGACTTCTGCAGTTAGTATGTCGTTACCATTGTTTATTGGGAAGATAATTGATACAGCTAAAACACCAGATTCTAAGAAGGCCGACGCGGATTCCGAAAAAAGTGATAATGTGGATGATATTAAAATTTTTGGTTTAGAACCATATGAGTTCTATGGTGCTCTCGGTGTATTCTTTTCTATAGGAGCAGTGGCAAATTTTGGACGTACATATTTATTACGTTCAGCAGGTGAAAGATTGGTCGCAAGATTAAGATCACGTCTATTTCTGAAAATTCTATCGCAAGATTCATACTTTTTTGAAGGTGGACCAAGCAATAAGGGAATGAAAACGGGGGACTTAATATCAAGATTGTCGAACGATACACAAATAATTTCCAAAACTTTGAGTGGTAATGTATCTGATGGGGCAAGATCGTTGATAAGCGGTTGTGTTGGGCTTTCGATGATGTGCTTTGTACTGTGGAAACTTACTCTTTGTATGAGTGCGATCTTTCCGCCTTTGATTATAATGTCAGTGGTTTATGGTAGACGAATTAAACAGTTGTCTCGTACAATTCAAGAAAATCTAGGGGATATGACGAAAGTTACCGAAGAAAAATTGAATGGATTGAAAACAATACAAAGCTTTGCCCAGCAACGAATGATTGTTCATGATTATAATCAAGAAATTAAAAATATTTTCAGATCATCCATGCGTGAAGGAAAATTGAGTGGTATTTACTATGGTATTAACGGGTTCCTAGGGAACATGACATTAATCGGTCTACTTGTAATTGGAACCAAATTAATCGGTAATGGAGAAATAACAGTAGGTGATTTATCCAGCTTTATGATGTATGCTGTTTATACCGGTAGTTCAGTCTTCGGGCTTGGTAATTTTTATTCTGAGTTAATGAAAGGAGTTGGAGCAGCAGAAAGAGTATTTGAATTGATAGAACTGAAGCCGAAGATTACTACAACCTTGGGTAAAAAAGTTGATGACTTACACGGTGATATTGAATTTCGTAATGTAAAATTTAGCTATCCTTCAAGACCCGACTCACCCATATTTGGTGGATCTAAATTAAACTTAACGATCACCAAGGGTGAACATGTTTGTTTCGTTGGACCATCGGGTAGTGGTAAATCAAGTATATCACAATTATTACTAAGATTTTATGATCCAACTGAAGGTACCATTACGGTGAATAAGCATAACATCAAGGATCTCAATTTGAATTTCTATAGATCTCAAGTTGGTTACGTTCAACAGGAGCCATTACTCTTTAGCGGAACCATAAGAGATAACATCGTATTTGGTAGAACGAACAGTAATGAAGATGAAATAAGAGAGGCTTCAATGCTAAGTAATGCTTATAAATTCATTGACGAATTTCCAGATAAGTTTGACACAGTCATTGGCCCTACAACTAGTGGTGCTGCTCAGTTGAGTGGGGGACAGAAGCAAAGAGTATCTTTAGCTAGAACATTAATTAAGAAGCCGGACATTCTAATCCTTGACGAGGCTACGTCAGCATTGGACTCCCAGCTGGAAGAGATGGTAATGAAGAATCTAAAAAGGCTATCAAAAGACATGCATGTGACTATAATACTGATCGCACATAGATTGTCAACTATTAGGAACAGTGAAAGAATAATAGTAGTCAACTATCGAGGAGAAATAGTAGAAGATGGAAAATTTAACGAGTTATACAATAATTCTAATAGTGAATTGAACAAGTTATTGAAAGCTCATGAATTGCAATAGGTTTATATTACACTTTGGTATCTACAATAAAATAATGCGCATTATTAAATAGTAGATTAGTGGGTAGACTCATGTATAACTTACTTGGCATGAAGGAGTAAATAGCATTAGTAGATTGTTCTGGAAGTAATGAATGATGGCGAAAAAATAAGCACAGGATAAAATACATTGAAATGAAACTTGGCGGTCCAGTTCTATTTTTCTTTGCGATCACCCTTTTTTCTGGAGCTCGGCTGAAAGCCGTTAGAAACTTGTCAAAACAAATTGATAAGTACAATAGAAACTATATAAAATTTTATTTATTGATTTTCTAAATTGAGTAGGGTTTCAATGTTACAATTAATTCAGCACAGTATTTTAGGTAAAATTAGACATGCTACCAAAAGAAGATAGATTTAATTCAAAGAACTCTAAAGGAACTAATGAAGCAGAAAACCAAGCAACATCATTCTATAAGCGGTTTTCATCATCAATTATACCGCCACTTTCATTTTTGAGCCAAGGAACAATTTCACCTAATAATGAAGAGGTAGCCAACGATGATAATGCTCATAAAGATGAAAAGACATTTAGCGACGATGAAGACATTGCTCATCCCATCGGAAGTGTGGGGTCTCTGAATAACTTTGTAAGTTTCTTATACGCTGGTATGGGCAAATTGAGCGAAATAAAAGGAAATGATGCAAGTAATGCAAATGACACAAATGATGCATCTGATGTGGGAGCTCTGAAGCTCAATGACAAATTCACAGAGGCAAGAAATAGACAAGTTAATGAACCATATCGAGGTGAGTACAAAATTGACTATGATATTAACGAGAGCGAAGAAGGAGATGTTGAGAGCGCTGAAGATGAAAACACTCTAAAACCGAAGACAGAAGATGTAACTCCAAATACTGGATTAGATCCAGAGGAGCACTTGGAAAAGGTATCTGATATGTTTTTTGATGATAAGGACGAACCAACAACCGCTTTGGCATCGGATCCTTCTAAGGGTACTGTATTACAACAGTCAGTTTTGAAAAACTTCGATCCTTTTCTAATTGAACAAACCGAGTTGTTGAAATTAAAAGACATTAAACTATCCACAGATGAAGATGAGTCTGATGCGTATAAAATCAAAAAGAAATTCTTCAGGTTAAAAGTAGCGGATAAGTTGAAACGGGTATTTGAATTGAGTGATGATGACTATTTTTACGGTAATTATAGCGTATGGCTTGTTAGAGATGTCTTATTACAAGGTCATATATATTTGACAAAAGAAAGCATCCTTTTCTTTACGTTTCTTCCAAAAAGACAGAATACGATAAATGCATCAAATGGTGCTGCAGGTGGATTCCAGCACCATGATGACTCCCATGATGTGATTCAGTCAGGATCTTTGGGTATGAAAACAGCATTATATGGGGATACAGTATTCAGTACCCCGCTTACTCATAGGTTTTGGGTCATTTTGAGGAATGAAACCATAACAGTTTATAATTCTCCAACAGACTTGTATTTTCCAATTACTCTAATTGACTTAAAATCATGTATTAGTGCAGAAGTTATTGAAAAAGGAAAAAACGAGAGTAGCACTTCTTCAAGACCCGAGTTATGTCGTAATGATTCACTGGAGAATTCTTCAGGTGATGAGGAAGCTGAATTTTCTAATATGTTACATTCTAATTATCAATTGGAAGATAATACTGAAAATTTGAGCGGTGGCTTCTGGTTTAAAGTTGTGACAAAAAAGAAGACTCATAAATTCCATTCGGATAGCTTATACTCAGCCAGGCAATGGGTTAATAATATAGTGAAGGTTGTTTTTCAGTTGCATAATTCAAATTCGAATAATGAAGTCATTATGAAGATCCCTATAAATAATATAATTAGCTTCGATATCAATGAAGTTTTTGGTGCTTCTGAAAGAACTTCAGAATCCAATGATGAAAAGCCAAAAGTTTTAAATGTGAAACATATAGAAAATGAAGCAAAAGCGAGGAATCCGTTACTGGCAAGTAGGATGAAAAATGAATTGAAAAATAAAACAAGGAAGAAAATGAAAAGAACTTCCGTCGGCGAAGCTGATGATTTACTATCGGAAAATACTTATTTTCTATTGTTTAAGAACGGTGATGAAGTATTCAACACACTTAATGAAATCGTCAGTGAAAATAAAGATGCAAATACATTTCCTAATAAGCGAAGTAGTATAATTAGCACATTCAATAATGAGAAAGGATCCAGCTGGACTAGACCTAAATCTTTCGCTCACAGAGGCGAAGAAATCAAAACACCGAGAGCTATCTCCACCCTTACCACAGACCATTATCAGAATAGTATTATCGATCAAATCGAAGAAGCGAGTCATAGAAAAACTGCAAATGCAGAGTTGGCATCACCTCGATCAGAATGTGGCCTGACAAATTCAGTTTTATCACTGCCACAATCGAAGATAAAGAAATTTGGTAAAACACTAATAGCTCCATCAAGGATATTTTCGAATAAAAGTAGATCAGGTTCTGAAAAATCAACACCAGATCGCTCTGGAACTACTTCTCCAGTTCAAGGAATCAATTTATCATTATCAGGCTTGAAAGATTTAAATATGGCTTTTGAGGCTTCGCAGAAAAATTACGAAGTTGGTTCTACTAGATTCAGCCATACGGACAACAATAATGCTGATAATATATCTAGTTTTGAATATAATACATTATCAAAAGCAGAAGCATTGTCTCCTCAAATTAGATCTCCCCATCCTATTGAAGCAGGCCCATTGAATCTCACTGACCCCTCTGAATTTGAAGACAATAGAAAAAAAAATAATACATTATCATCAATCGGGAAAAGTATTAAAGCTATGTCATCAATAAAGAGTAAGTTGGCCGCTGTTAACCATTATGAGGAGTTGTATGAAAATGATCCTTATTTTATACGTGATATCTCGGCCAGGGAGGTTGATACTAAGCACTTCCAAGAGCGCTTTTCCTTTAATAACAAAAAGCAGTTAATAGCTTCTTACCATTGTCATATCATTAGAGCGGTTCCTGTGTTTGGTAAAGTGTACTTAGGTGATAGTGAAATATGCTTTAGAAGTATGCTACCTGGAGTTTCAACAAAAATGATTTTACCATTAATTGACGTAGATACTTGCTATGAGGAGAAAGGATCAAATATAGCTTATTCTGGTTTGGTAATAGTTATTCGTGGATATGATGAGCTATTAATGGAATTCAGTGTTCAAAAAGCTAGAGATGACTGCTTGGCTATGATATTGCGTCAATTAGAAAAAAACCATGGACCTGGAGATGAGTCTTCGAGTAATAATAAAAACTCTGAAGATGATGATCAATGTCTTCAAAAACTTCCCTCTTCTACCGATACCACTAAGTCGTTAGCCGGTATCAAGTTAGCGCAGTGGAGAATTGAGAACGCAAGGCTAAAGCTATTCGAGGACAAGATCAATGCTGCGGCTGGTCTTCATGTCCCAATTATTTTAGAGGACTCTCCCTTCTATAAGACGGAGATACGACCTTCTACATCCTTTAATTTTACATTATTGACTATTGGGTCTCGGGGTGACGTACAACCTTATATAGCATTAGCTAAAGGGCTATTAGCCGAGGGTCATAATGTTACAATTGCAACACACTCTGACTTTGAAGAATGGATTATAGGGCATGGAATTAAATTTAAAACTATTGCGGGCAATCCAGTTGAATTGATGTCATTGATGGTAAGTCATGGGTCAATGTCCCTCTCATTTCTTAAAGAGGCAAGTTCTAAATTCAGAGGTTGGATTCAAGACTTATTGGACACCAGTTGGAAGGCTTGTCAAGGAAGTGATATTTTGATTGAAAGTCCTTCAGCAATGGTTGGTGCTCATATTGCAGAAGCTTTGGGCATTCCTTATATGAGAGCGTTTACGATGCCTTGGACGAGGACTAGAGCATACCCCCATGCGTTTATTGTGCCTGATAAGAAGAAAGGCGGATCCTATAATTACATTACACATTTAATGTTTGAGACGGTTCTTTGGAAAGGAATCAGTGGTCAAGTTAATAAATGGCGGAGGGAACAGTTGGGAATACCAAGAACTAATTTATACAGACTTGCTCAATATGACATACCTTTTTTGTATAATATATCGCCTATAATTTTCCCACCTTCTGTTGATTTTCCAGATTGGGTTAAAGTTACAGGATACTGGTTTTTAGATGAAGGATCTGCTGAAGATTTTAATCCTCCTAAAGAATTAGTTGATTTTATGAATAATGCAAAGGAGGACAGCAAAAAAATTGTTTACATCGGATTTGGTTCTATCGTTGTTAAAGATGCCAAGAGTCTTACAAAGGCCATAGTTGAAGCCGTTTTAGAAGCGGACGTTCGCTGTATCTTGAACAAAGGTTGGTCGGACAGGAAATCCAGTCCGAAAAAGGATGATGCAGAACCAGAAATTGAACTACCAGAGGAAATTTATAACTCGGGTTCTATTCCACATGATTGGTTATTTCCAAAAATAGATGCAGCTGTTCATCATGGTGGATCTGGAACAACTGGTGCAACTATGAGAGCCGGTATTCCTACAATAATCAAACCTTTCTTTGGTGATCAATTCTTTTATTCTTCAAGAATTGAAGATATTGGAGCAGGAATTGGGTTGAAGAAGTTGAATGCTCATTCATTGAGCACTGCATTGAAAAAAGCAACGTCGGATGCAAAAATGAATTTGAAGGCAAAGAAAATCAGTGAAAGATTGAAACAAGAAAATGGTGTTTTAAATGCAATTGAGGCTATCTATTATGAACTAGAATATGCAAGAAACTTAATAACCGCCAAGCAGCATGAAAATGCAAAGCATGACATCAAATCGGGTGTCCAGACGCCCGTTGTTAATGAAACACTCGACGAATATTTCGACAGTGACGCATATGACACAGACTTTGAGTCGGACCACGAGTCACCGAATGAAACCTACCAACAAGATAATGATGAAGATTATAATACTAATGACGATAATACTACTGAAATTGAAGAACCTAGTCTTATGGATGATAACGATACTGTAAGAATCGCACCTGATACCGGAAATGATACTACTACCTTAACAGACGTTAACAAAGAAGTGTTTAATGTAAGTGCTTCGTAGCACATAAGTCAATTGACTTTTTTACAATTCCATAACGTGTATGTGTGTAATATAGTAAATATATAATTCTAAATACTGTTTGTTATTAGATCACGTGAATATTAACAAAGTAAAATTTTTTGAGTCATATTCAAAGTATGAATTAGACTGAAGAATCCACAGTTTCATAGTTATTATAATAAAAATAGATTGTAATTGAAGTATAGAATTCACATGTTCACAGCTTGCAAACATTTAGTATTGTATTGATAGGTAATAATTCGAGATAAATAGTTTGAAATACAATAAAACATAGGCCATGACTTTACTATCTCCAAATCCAATTTATAAAGATATTACCGAAGAACAGAAAGCTAGTAATTCATATGCTGCTTTTGTTCCTGGCCAAACAATTGTTGAAATTCCTTCATATACATTGGAGTGTGGCGAAATTTTAAGTAACTTTCCCGTAGCATATAAAACATGGGGTAGATTGAATAAAGATAGAGATAATACTTTCGTTATTTGCCATGCTTTAACTGGATCATCCGATGTTCAAGATTGGTGGGGACCATTATTAGGCACAGGCAAGACGTTTGACCCTTCCAGATTTTTCATAATTTGTATAAATTTCTTAGGATCACCATATGGATCTTGTTCGCCAGTCAGCATTGATAAATCCACCGGAAAGCCATACGGACCATTATTTCCATTAGTGACTGTTAAGGATGATATCGGCATCCAAAAATTGATATTAGATTCATTAGATGTAAAGGGTATTGCATGTGTCATTGGCGGCTCCATGGGAGGAATGATTGCTTTGGAATACGCTGCTACTTATAATGATTCAGCATACGTTAGATCAGTAATTTCTTTAGCCACATCAGCCAGGGCATCCGCCTGGTGTATTTCATGGAATGAAACTCAGAGACAATGCATTTTCAGTGATCCAAATTACGACGATGGGTATTATTATGAGAACAAAAATGGCATTAAACCAGATTCAGGGTTAAGTGCTGCTAGAATGGCCGCTTTATTAACGTATAGGTCAAGAAATTCGTTCGAAACAAGATTTGGAAGAAATTTGCCCTCCGTGAAAAGCAATACTCAACAGAATCAAATATCCGAAGAAGAGCGTAAAAATCAAGAAAAAGAACAGGGAATTAGATACCCAAAAAACAAAGATGAAGAAAATTGGCTATTGCATAATGAAGGATCCAGATCAAGGTCATCGGTGAATAGAAGTTCTTCGTCATCAAATGTATCTTCTTCTGTTAAACCACAGACTTACTTTACAGCACAATCTTACTTAAGATATCAAGGTAATAAATTTGTTAATCGTTTTGATGCTAACTGTTATATTTCAATTACAAGAAAATTAGATACCCATGATATAACCAGGAATCGAGTTGATTCAGAACAGCTTTTAGAGGATCCTTTACCAGATTTTCTTTCAGGTTTAAAACAACCACATTTGGTAATTGGTATCCAATCTGACGGGTTATTCACATACGGAGAACAGCAATTATTAGGACAGTGTATTCCAAATTGTATTCTTAAGAAGATAAATTTACCGGAAGGTCACGATGCATTTTTATTAGAATTTGAAATCATTGATAAATACTGTACAGAGTTCTTGCACAGTAAACTCCCGGAATTTTTCAGTCCAGATTCAACGAAGGTTGAACTCTTTGAAGATTGGAGCAAGTATATTACGAGTTCCGATAATGGTGGTAATTCAGTATTCGGTGAAGTTGAAAAGAATATTACTAATTGGTAATATTGAAGGTTTATGGATATACATGTTAATATAGATTTCCTTAAGACAGTCTGTAGTTTCAAATCCTTCTGATTGCAAACTCTTCGCTATAACCTGCATATAGAAATATACAGAAATTTGAAATTATAGAGTAGTTGTAGTGTCGGGTTTAGTTCATTAGAGCAATGACAAAACCCAGTAATTGCAGTGTAACTGTAGCCACGGGGAAGTTAGACGAAGATAATGCTGTTCGTAAACGAATAGAGAATATATTCAAAAGCAATCCTATTTTACAAGGTGTAAGCGTAATTCTTAAATCAAAATCATTGCCTTTGAACATAGATAAGTTACTTGAAAACATAAGGAAGATTGATCTTAATGAATTTGAAAAATTACCTGAATTGCTCCAGGAAGTTTCTGGATATAAATCAAAAGGCTTTATAACAATAGAAGGAATTCCACTGCATCAAGTTTGGGATGATTCTTCTTTAGATATTACAGACAGTATTCAGTTCAATTCCGTTACAAATCAAATTAAGATTAAATTGAATAAGAGCACATTTGAATCATCACCAAATGTTTTTGATAATAGAAAGGGAATACTGATTAAAAAAATTATGGAGTCGAAAAAAGGACATGGAGCCTTGAATCATGTATCATATAGTTACTTGATTACAATGTCTACACTAGAAGAAGGTATCTCACATGAGGTACATCATTTGATTAAATCAGTCTTCAAATACAGTTCAGTTAAAGTTCGTACAAACTGCGCCAACAATATTTCGTGTTTGCGAGATGTAAATAAGATAATTGGGAATTCAACTATAATACCGTTAAAATTAAATATTAGAGATTACCCTATATTTAATGTTGACTTTCAGGAAGCAAACCAAGCCATCTATGAGTACTTAACTTTATTACATATTAATTCGCCGCAATTAACAGAAAATATCGATGATTATATCTCAAGTTATAAAATTCCAGAATATTTAGCTCAAAATACAGAACACCTGCAAGAACTATATAAATATACTTTTGACGAAATAGATTTCTCTGTACTTGACTCCCTTATGAGAAGTAATTGTTTATCAATTAGTGCATATGCAACAGACTCTCATATTATGATTTTGAATACCCAGAATACGTTGGTCTTGTGGGAATGTCAGTGAAGTCAAAATACAATAACATAAATCATAAATACACAATATACACAATATTTAATTAATTAATATATACAACTTATTTCATGCTTCCCAAAGTTTTATTATGGGGAACATAAAAAACCTAATTCAAATTTTTGAATAATTCATCTAAGGGAAATGTTTCAAATATATCAAACTCGGAATTATTCATAAGCCCTGGATTACCATTAGCATCATCATTGAAGCCAAGGTTTGCATAATTTGGAACATTGTTGAATTCCCCAATTCCAGGAGCCAGTGACACATTATCTGATTGGCTGTGTTTGAATTGGTTTCCAGGGGTTGCATTTTCATTCTTCATTGACATCATATTTAACCATAGACTATCAATCTGAACGTTTTGGATAAAATCATTTGTACCAAAATCATTAGAGGAATTATCTGAGTAGTAGCTAGTAGAATCGGTGGAACCATTTTTTGTATCATTATCGAACGATGGAATCGAATCTGGCACCCCAGTTTTATTACTATGTTTATTTCTATTTTTCTTCTCTTTAATTGAAGCTAAGGAATCTTCAAAAATATTGATAAGTTCATCTAGCATTGGACTGGAGAATTTAATCAAACAAGCATTAGAATTTCCAATATTTTTATCATAAAACTCCTTTGACAACACAGTATCCATCAAAAAGTATTGCGCTTTAGATATTCTCCAAGAAAAGTAATACCTGCTACTCAACCTGGATATATTATCAAGGAATACCTTAGAACTTTTATCAAGAAGTTCTAAAAACCTTTCTAGTTTTTTAAAATGTAGATTATATGTTAAATCGTTAACCATTCTCTCTTCATGGTTATAATTTAATTCAAAATCTAATATGGTCAATTTAACTTTGATTAATGTTGCAATAATAACCACAATAGATTTATGTATGGCCAGCTCAAAACTTGGAGTTATAACCAAATCTGTAGAATTTCTAAAAACCAAATGATTGCTTTCTAAAATTTCATTGTAGAAAGGCATCAAATCAAGTATGGTAATCAAAAAAATCTTCTTCAAATAAAAAAAAGACAAATCATAATTGTTTTTGCGTTCGTAATAGTTGTAAAAATGGAAAAATAAAGAAACTCGAAAAAAATGGCAGGTGAAGTAAATTTTCATTTTCAAAGTCTTTTTTACAACATCTGATTTAGATAAAACTTCACTCCTTAGAGATTTCCTTAAATCGCAGTATTCGCTCATGTAACTTGTTTCTAAATCACTAAGAGAAGCCGTTAAATCTTCCAAATTAATATTGTCTCTCACATTCAAGATCTTCTTAAGCAATTTTGACATAGGCTCATAAAATGCTTCAATCCTTCCGAAGGACGATGTGACAGTTTTTTCTAATTCGACATCATTTATATTTGCATTTCCATCCTTATAATAAGGTACTTTTGTATCAAATATTTCAATACTGGTGGTCATCGGATATCCCATCGCCATCGCATTATTTATATCATTTATCAATAGAAGATACCAAATTTTCCTTCCCAAATTGTTCGTTTTCTCATCCTTAAAATTGTCTGGAAAATTATCTGGATCCCTATTTAAGCCCATTGAAATCGCCATTTGGACCAACATACCTATAAAAACTTGCGAGTCACCTCCATCTGACCCATCACCATCTTCAGGCGCATACATATGATATAACCTAGTGAAGAATGCTAATTGCATAATGGCCATATTAGCTTTCCTTAGTAAGTTAAATTGATTCAAGCATAGCTGAGCTACATCTATCACATCAATATTGATAGGATTATTTAGCAAATATCTGAATTCTCGGGCTTGTGGTGATGGATCGTTTGAGTATAGCTTAGCTTCATTTAATGTAGTTATATTTGAGAATAAACTCAAGTAGCTTAAACGTAATACAATCAACAACAAACCTAAATAGGCAAAGTCTAATCGTTTTTCAACTTTCAATTTGCTGACCTTTTCTTCATCAAAACTTTCTGGTCCAAGCAATCGAGTAATCAGTGACTTGAAGTACAGTTCGTCTATGATAGCAAAGAATGGGTACAAGTGAGTAAAAAATCTTTCAATGAGCTTCCAAATAATTCTTTTATTAGGTAACACTAATTCAATCTTTTCGATAAGTTTCAATTCTTCATCAATTCCTCCATCATAAAAAGTAAGGCCTAACGACATAGCCTTTTCATTGATCTTATTTCTGGAATTTGAAGAATTCGATATAAGCTTTGGAGTAAATAACTGGCTTTGAGGCGCATCTTTATATAATGTGACATCATTGATTCCCGTATCATTGTTTTCTCTTTCTCTGAACTGCTTTTCGGGGCTTGAACAAGTAGCATTATCATCTACTACGCAAGGCCTCAGCTTTGCCATTTTCTTCGAATGAATAAATGACCATAGCATAGTTAATGCGGGATCAACCTTAATTAACGATAACCATGCTAAAGGTCCAAAATTTCTTCTCTTCACAGGTTCACAATCGAAAACAGCTGTATATCCTTTATAAAAGTTAATTGTATCATCCAGAGATGCAACTGGATTATAACCTGCAAAGCAATTAATTCCATTTTCCAGATGTAAAGGCAGTTCGTTTAGCACGTTTTTGATATTATTATTATTAGATGAATCCTCATTATTAGATTCGTTACCTGTCGTAAGGGTTTCTTCTAGGTTCCGTATCTTCGCTTTTAAAATCTTCAATTCATCTTGTACAATATCCTCTGCATCAATTGCTTTGTTGCTTACAACATCAACACCATGTATATCATAATGACATTCCAGATTGCCGTATTTGAGACAAGTTGAACACGGATTACCCTTATCACATTTAACCTTTCTTTTCTTACAAAACCCACACGCTACACTTATCCTGTGTCTCTTTCTAGATGTCATGACTAACAGTTAATAGCGTAAAACAGTTCCATTACTAGATATTTAGAATTGCACATCGCTTTAACTTTGTGTTTAATTTTTGCCTTCATGAGAAATATCCTTAAAATCTGGTTCCCCATACAAGAGACATATCTATGAATTTGATAAGGAACTAATTGAATTTCAATGACGTCTAAGCAGTTTAAATTACAACTAATACAGTACTCTTTAGCTGAATTAGGGTATAGTAATCTATCCGAACAGATATCTGGTGATATCAGCTCAAACTCCATAAGCCATGAATCAGAATCTGCTTATCATGATGAGAATGATCATAATGATTTATTAAAATTCATTGAAAGGTTTTATGAAGAATTGAGACATGGTAACTACTCAGCTATAATAGAATATTTGAACTATATAATGCTACCAGAAGAGAGCGCCATGAATGTTGACGATATTTCTAAGGATTTCAGTAGCATAGGAATTGACTTTTATAAAGCATTGAATTTGAAGGATGATTCTGTTGATACGATTGGCGGCATTTGCACCCTAATTATTACATATTTGATCAAAAGAACTTACTTTTTGGAATGTATCGTGGTCAATTCATTTAATAGTAGTAAACAACATAATCAAGTTGAGTTGTTGGGAGACATATCAAAATATAGTTTTACTTCAATTTCTGTTCCAGATTTGCTAGTTATATTGCTGGATCATCTATGTCCTTTATTGGACGAAATACAGGATGCACTCAAGTCCATAAATATAAATAGGATTGTTGGACCCATGTGGAATTCTAAACCCGAGCTAATCGAATTATTGAATAGAGAGAAGGAGTCTACTTTATTGCTTCCGTTAGTTATGAAGTCGCCAATAGGTACAACTGACTTGACAAAATTAGTTTTCAACGAACAAGTACTATTGGCTGATTCAAGCATCAGTCAAATATCCTTACCACACATTCTTGATGAATTGAGAACTATACTAGTTGATAAGCACTTGAGTGCTATTTTCAAAGAAAGCTATAGAAATCCGTCTACAAATAAGGCGGCTTTTGATATACCACCTAACTATCTTGACAAGTTGATCGAAAATGCTACTGCATACCAAAAGCAGCAATCCCCTTACTATTTACCACCTAGAATTAATTCCAACAAGCAAGGGGGAACATTTCTTCCACCCCTCTATTGTGAAATAAATGAGAAATACAAAAAAGGCTTCCCATCATCTTTAATAACCACATTGGATAAACATTCTGATGAAGTTTGGATTGCTAAATTTTCTCCTCTGGGGAAACTCTTGGTTACAGGGTCTTTAGATGGAAGATTAATCATATATGATGTTTTGAATAATTTTGATGTTTTGGCTATATTGGATTCAGATATACAAGGAATCAAAAGTCGTACAAGAAGTAATAAGGCAGTAATATATTGTTGTTGGGAACCTAATGAACAATATTTAGTGAGCTGCTGTTTAGATACGGTAGTGAGAGTTTGGTCGATTAAGGATATTAAGAAAGATAATAAGAGAATAACTCGCTCTATGGATGTTGAATTGGATAGCCAGTCAGCACTATTAAGGAGTTCGTTTACACTTGGTGAAAGTATTAAAACGTGGTCGTGTGAGTTTTTGCCTACGACAGCCGATCCTCAATTTATAATTGGATCACCAGATAAAGTGTTAAAGGCTTTCAATGTTGATGGAAAAGAGCTTTTCGATTTTTATGCTGATACTGAAGAAAACGGCTTGTACCATGATGAGAAGGTTAATTCGAACGATACTAAAGATGGTAATGACAAGACAGATTCATCAAATGATGGTGAAAGCAAAGATAAGACAAGCACTATACATAACAACTTTTATCGAGTAAATGATTTAGCAATAACTCCAGACGGGAAATTTTTAATCACCGCAAACGATGACAAGCAAGTATATTTTTATACTATTCCTGATCTTTTAGATCCAAATTCAATAACTACTAAAATTGCTACTATAAGCTTAGGTGGAAAATTGACATCATGCTCAATATCCTCTAATGGGAAGTATTTATTACTTAGCATCACGCCGGAGGAGGTTCAAATCTGGGATATTTCGGGATTGGGAAAATCAGAAAAACCAATCTTGAAGAAAAAGTTAATTGGTCATAGTCAAGAGAAATACATTGTCCGGTCTAGTTTTGGATATTTAAGTGACAACCAGGAAGAATTAGCTATTAGCGGCAGTGTTGATGGATATATCTATATATGGAAAATTGAAACTGGGCAGTTGATTACTAGAATAAAAGGTCATGACGGGCTATGCAATTCAGTAGATTGGAACAAATATTATATTCCTAAGAAAAACTGCAAGGATTATGGTAAGTTGTGGTGCTCAGTAGGCGATGATAAAATAGTTAAGATATGGGGTCCCTCAGACTGGAACAATGAATGAACGCAAATGAACCAAAAAGAGAAAAAATAAAACATAAATGAATTTTCTTAATATTTTCTAAATATATGTACATATATATTATATATATTGCTTGATCATAATTCGTCATGATTAATTTCATCTTCTTCAATAACGGCTTCTTTAGATTCTCTTAATTGGCTGCCATCGATCTTGTGACCACCTTGATCCTTAATAAATTCAATTAAAGAATCTAATTCTCTTGGCTTGTCGTAAACAACAGCTTCCCTGAGACCAGTTTTGCTGTCAATCTTACCATTAGCTGGGTAGAATACCAAAGTAGGATAACCAGCAATCTCAACTGGAGTATTAACGTCGTTAGCGGTGTGATCAAGGTCGGCAATAACTACCTTAGCATCAGCCTTATTTGAACCATAAATTTCAGCTAATTCTTCCCAAGCTGGTGCCAATTTCTTACAATGTCCACACCATGGAGCGTAATACTTGACTAAGATATCCTTCGAAGTATCTTTAAGAATATCATCGTGGTTGTGAGCGACTAACTTAACAACAGATTGGTTAGCAATTTCATCTTTAGTTGGTAATGGTTCAGATTTGACAATTGGGTCAACTTTACCCTTGAAGAAGTCTTTCACAAACTTTTCAATGGTCTTAGTAGAAGGACCTTCAGGATTTTCTTCTTGACTGATACCGTATTTCTTGTTTTCTTGAAGGTTTTGAATAGCAAAAAGAGGAACAACTTCTGGGTTCATATTTAATGCTTCAGCATGACGTCCAAATACGTTTGCATCTAAACCAACAAAGTTGATTTTGCCTCTATGTTCCTTTCCTAACTTCTTGAAAGTTTCTTCAACCAGCTTACGTTCTTCTTCATTGTTGTAGAAATAGTAACCAAGTGGTAAAGGCGAAGTCATGTACATCAAATAGGTATCTCTATTGATATCACCAAAGTATGGAACGATTTCGGTCTTGATGAAAGAAGTTAAGCTTTCCTTATCAAAAGAAGCAGAGAACTCACTGATATCTTCAGGAGAGTCAGGGCGCACAATCAAGTACTTTGGAGATTTGACCTTGTTCAAGCTAGCCTTAGGAAGTTTAGTCTTTAACGAATCGACTAAGTCTTTGCTTTCAACAGAAATAAAAGTTAAGTCTTTTCTGTTTTCGTTGGCAACTTTGGCAAAAGTTTCGTTAGAATTAGCCTTATCCTTCTCGCCATTGTAGCCTTCAGGTAAAACTTGAATAATATATGGCTTGTCTTGGGCATCTATCAAGGAGGTCAATTCTTCAGCCTCGACTGGGGTGGAAACGGCTGGTAATGATTGCTTGATCATGTATTCAGCAATACCAGCAGCTTCTCTTGGACCGTCATAGTCTTCTGGAGCAGCTTCTGACCCTCTCATGACTTTCAAAGATGGGTATCCTCTAATACCGTGTTCCATACATAACTCTTCTTCAACTGTGCAATCAACTTGAGCTAATTTGATATTTGGGTGTGATTCGTTTAATGAATCAGCAGCCTTCGAAAATTCCGGTCCCAAGATCTTACAGTATCCACACCATGGGGCAAAGAACTCAGTCAAAACCAAAGGGTTAGCATCAATGAACGACTTGTAGTCGGAAGAAGTTAATTGAACAACCGCTGAGTTTGGGTCGGCGGCGGCTTCACCGTCGCTTGGTCCGCTAGCATTGACAACTGATACAGCCGCTAATAAAGATGATAACGCTTGAGTAGAAAATTTCCAGAACTTCATGTTTATTTTGAAACTATTATTATGGATATAATATAATCTATGAAAAAAAGGATAAGGACAGAGTATTATATGTTGCCGGCGATTTATAAGCTCTGTAGAACCGCGTTGCTTTGAGAACACGCTGTTAATTATTTGGGTGTGTATATAAGATATAGCCTTGGAACACCTTACTTACGTATATTCCAATATTGACTGGAATATCGATAGTGTTGTCAACTATAGAGGACTGAATGTTGAATTGGACTATTAATGTATAAGAAGATATACGAATAATGTATATGAATGTACTGCCAGTCAGTATATAGTATGGAACGCAGAACGATTGCAAAATTAATATTTTCGCAGACTTTAAAATGCTATGTAAGTGAATATGGCTTGGAGTTAAAAGCTTGAATACAGAGCCACTTGACTTCAAAAGCAGTTGAATGATTTTCAGTTGTCTCTGTTCTTGTAATATTTGCATTCTATGAGATTCACATAGTAATGAATTTACAAGGGATATCAAATATGAATGATAAAGGGCCATATTGTCGTGTAAAACTACCAAGATGAACCATTAACATTGTGCCGCATGGCTTTATCTTGTTCTTAAAATATTCAAGTAGGCGAATAGGAATGTGGAAGGATTCTCTAGAACTATATTTAAAACAATTTTTTTTTAAGAATCATACGACAGTTAGTTTTGTCTATTATACGTCGAAGAATCGCACTTGAAAAATTGGCTATATCTTATTCATTTTCACATAGATAATGACCCACTGGTTTCTATCCATCACTCCGTGGAAAACATTGGGCATTTATTCGATATCTGTTGCTGTTGCCTATTTCTGGTTGGGCGTACCTGCATTGGGTGTTGGCATATATGTGGGTGGCGTTTTATCAGTTTTTTACTATGGCATAACCATTTCAAATTGCTCTGATCGATTAAAGGGAATAGCCAGAGAAATCGTGATCCAAGAATTCATTGATAAAAGACCATTTAGGGAAGCTGATTATTTGAAGAAGGAAGAAATCTTACAAGAAATCTTGAATAATGTCAATAAAAAAGTGTATCATAGAATGGGAATCAATTACGGTTACGATACTACTGGATACTTACTTTTTGCATACGGATCGTACATAGCAGAATTTGAAAAAAAATATTTACAACATTATGACAACATAGACGTTGAAGATATTCAAGGTTGGGACAAGATTATGTTAGTAGCTAAGAACATCCAAGACGAGGATCAAAATTCTATCTATAAAAATACGATCTCTTCGGAATTGATTAATACTTACGGCTCAAAAAAGCCAGTTATTGTCTCTGCTGAAACTGATGATCTGTTAAGCAATAAAAATAGCAAAAAAGAACAATAAATATGAGGAATAACAAGATAAGGTAAGAGTGTAAAGTATAGTTTAGTTTAATATTGTTTAATATTCCTGATTATATATCCAAGTAGTGTGTTTACGGAAATAAGCAACGGACCAATTTCTTCGATACTATATAGCGGGTAACATTATTATGAAATATTTATACAGTACGTTCAGTTATTAGGCGTTATTTATCGAAAAGCATGAACTTTCCTCTATAAAATTTTCTTTCACGACAGACAATGGCACACTGGACTATATCAATCGTTCCATTGAAAGCATTGGCAGTTTATGTAATACTTCAAGTGGCTTCATACTTGCGGTTTGGAAATGGCGGTTTTCAATTCAGTATTGTAGGGCTTCCGACATTATACGTTTTTTTTATGTACCGGTTCTTTTCACTCGATGCAACATTTAGAGAAATAATTGAAGAAATCATTATACCAGAATTTATAGAAAAAAGACCATTCAAGCAACTTTCCATGAAACGAAAAGAAACTTTAGACGAAATGATAATCAATGTAAATAATAAAGTGAATTATATGATGGGTACCAACTACGGATACACTAGCGCTGCTGGAATGGTTCGTGATTACAAGAGAATTATGACTAAGTTTGAGAAGAAATATCACGACATCTACAAAGGAGCTCCAGCTCAAGAAATTCAAGGTTGGGATAAAATGTTGTTAGTTGCCAAAAACATTCAAGATGAAGATCTAGGTTGCGTTTATGAAAATTCGGTATCTCTAGAAATAATGAATAAATATGGCAAAACTACAACCAACGAATACGAATTGGACAATATTGGTCATTCAAAAGATGTTTCGGATACCGTTTAGATGAATTGTTA